CAGATTTTGTCTGAAGTTCTGCTCTTTGGTTTATTAGAAATCCCTGTTGTGTTTCTACTGACTCAGGTCAAGCAATCTTAACAGAACTCTGAACACGGGGAGTGGGCACCATGCTTAAAATCCATTTAACTGGGAGCAATATTTACACAGTGTTTGTGTAATTACCAATTATACTCTGTACATGTGGCAAGACAAACCTGATGTGATTACTGAACTCCTGTACGGAGAGGATTGGTACCTCAGCTTATGATAGACAGCAGCTTCTCGTCAGTACTGATGCATGAGGAACATACAGTTTAGTCTCATTCTGAAAACTTTGGTACGGAGACATATTTATTGTTCACACTGTAAATATTTGCCATATTTTGGTAATAAAGTGATCAGAGAGTTTCCTGTCTGAAGGTCTACGGCTGATTTTCTATATATGTAATGTCCAATAAAAGTCACTGTACAGCGTCATCTGAACTTTTCTCGATGCACCTATTTTGCAATAAAGTTGTTTACAAGAAGTTTTATCATCTGCCAATATTCTAAAATCTGCAGAATTTGCAGTCTCACACATGTGTGTACAAATAATGAGTTTTTAAAATATTCATCATTAATATTTTGAAAACAATTTAACAGGAATAAAAATTGAATAATTCTTTTGTTATTCTTTTGTAATTATAGATAATAGATGAATGTTGGTATGACACGTGACAATTTGTGTAGTTTTACACAGTTAATGACGACATGTTTTGATAATCTAACAGTTTTTGGACATATATATCATTGTGGCATAAAACTGTATAAGACAATGTTTTGGGTGTCGCTTTCACCATAGTCATGTCTGTTTGCCGTGAAAATTGCTGTCAATTTCCCTCATACAAGCCTATCAGCTGTGTACACTAGCCGACTTTGATGTCTAAGTGAGTTTTTTTATGAATGTGCATGATAATCGGATGTATGTAGTAGGTAACATGCGTTGTATATCGCCATGATACACACCATTATCATTGTGTGTTGACAGTTAACACACACACAAACATGGCTGAGCAGGAAACAGCTGTATCGCTCACTAACGCTATACTCAGATGTGTTCACTTTTCTTCAATCTTCTGAAAGTAAAACTGTAAAAGGGTCAGTGGTCTTTATATGATCTTGGGGACCATATATTGAGACTCTCCGTCTTGTTAGAACAGTTCTCCATAGGTATTTAAATGTTAAGGGAAGTCAATACTTCAAGCACAAAGATAACATAACAATTAATATGTTAATTATAATGTTGAGCATGTGCATTTTGAACTGCATGTAAAATATAATGCCCCGTGTTTATCACTAAACATTAAAATCTCAACACAGTTATATATTATATATGACATATAATGTCTCTGACTTTGTATAGGATGAGTAACAATATTGCTACTGTGACCTGTAATTAGGATGGGTTCTTTAACTTAATAATGTTACATGAACAAAACTATAACCTGTAATTGTGACAGGGTCAATGTTACTTTCATAGAGTTACAAAATTGTAAGTTTGACCTGAAGTTGGGACGGGGTCAATGTTAAATAATGTTTAAAAAAATTGTTACGTTAACCTGTAATTGGGACGGGGTCAATGTTACATAGAGTTACAAAACTGTTACGTTCCACCTGTAATTGTGACAGGGTCAATGTTACTTTCATAGAGTTACAAAATTGTAAGTTTGACCTGTAATTGGGACGGGGTCAATGTTACATAGAGTTACAAAACTGTTACGTTCCACCTGTAATTGGGACGGTGTCAATGTTACATAGAGTTACAAAACTGTTACTTCCACCTGTAAGTGGGGAAGAGGTCAATGTTACATAGAGTTACAAAACTGTTACTTCCACCTGTAAGTGGGGAAGAGGTCAATGTTACATAGAGTTACAAAACTGTTACTTCCACCTGTAAGTGGGGAAGAGGTCAATGTTACATAGAGTTACAAAACTGTTACTTCCACCTGTAAGTGGGGAAGAGGTCAATGTTACATAGAGTTACAAAACTGTTACTTCCACCTGTAAGTGGGGAAGAGGTCAATGTTACATAGAGTTACAAAACTGTTACTTCCACCTGTAAGTGGGGAAGAGGTCAATGTTACATAGAGTTACAAAACTGTTACTTCCACCTGTAAGTGGGGAAGAGGTCAATGTTACATAGAGTTACAAAATTGTAACTTTGACCTGCAATTGGGATGGGTATGTTAAAAAAGTACAAAAATTGTTACTTTGTATGAGGTCTCTGTTAGAGTCGCCTGTGTATTCTGTCTGAAGTCACCAGACAAACATGGAAAATCCTTGTACACCGTCAGTAAGTCTGAGTCTACCTTAAAGGGGCATCTATATATTACACACATACTTGAGACAATGTGAACGTTCTGAGTCCTGAGATCTGTGAAACCGATCATTACAGCGATGACCAGTCCCCAGTAGCCATGTCCACCAGCCGAGGGCCCCTTCAGGACATAGTTTCACGGGGAACCAAGTCTGTTATTACATCACAAGTACCGACTTGCATCTATAAGTCTCTTCTCCTGAAGATTTTTGCAATAGTGGCAATACGTTATAACTGCAGTTCGTTGGCGTCTGTCCATTTGTCCATCAATCATACCTTTCCGAAACAGTTATGGAATTCAGTCAGAGTTGTAGTACATCAATGCCTTAGATTGTATAATGGCAAAAGCTCAGGCCTGAGGTTTAAAGTGGAGCACAATTTCTGCATGTTTAGTTAGGTTACATGTACTTGGTGGGTTCTAATTGGTTGGCACTTTCCAGACAATAACTTTCATAAAGATTTAAAGATTTCATGTAGACTCTGGAGTGTTTGGGGAAATTTATTGTGTCGTGAAAGCCATATGTGACAGACACACTTTAGGTAATATGATAGCTGCTGACTGTAAATACACTAAAGAATAGAAAATGTCTTTGAGGTTGAGCAAAAACATTTGTCTATCTAATTATATCTGTATGGATATTGAAACAAAAAGCTTCATTTTATGGTTGTAGAAGGCCCTTATCATGTTAAGTGCCCTGAACCATACATTGAGGCCCTTATCATGTTAAGTGCCCTGAACCATACATTGATATGACATTTGAGTATTTTTGAGTTCAAATATCTTTCGATTTTTGAGAGAGAAAGAGAGGGGTCAATGTTACATAGAGTTACAAAACTGTTACTTCCACCTGTAAGTGGGGAAGAGGTCAATGTTACATAGAGTTACAAAACTGTTACTTCCACCTGTAAGTGGGGAAGAGGTCAATGTTACATAGAGTTACAAAACTGTTACTTCCACCTGTAAGTGGGGAAGAGGTCAATGTTACATAGAGTTACAAAACTGTTACTTCCACCTGTAAGTGGGGAAGAGGTCAATGTTACATAGAGTTACAAAACTGTTACTTCCACCTGTAAGTGGGGAAGAGGTCAATGTTACATAGAGTTACAAAATTGTAACTTTGACCTGCAATTGGGATGGGTATGTTAAAAAAGTACAAAAATTGTTACTTTGTATGAGGTCTCTGTTAGAGTCGCCTGTGTATTCTGTCTGAAGTCACCAGACAAACATGGAAAATCCTTGTACACCGTCAGTAAGTCTGAGTCTACCTTAAAGGGGCATCTATATATTACACACATACTTGAGACAATGTGAACGTTCTGAGTCCTGAGATCTGTGAAACCGATCATTACAGCGATGACCAGTCCCCAGTAGCCATGTCCACCAGCCGAGGGCCCCTTCAGGACATAGTATCACGGGGAACCAAGTCTGTTATTACATCACAAGTACCGACTTGCATCTATAAGTCTCTTCTCCTGAAGATTTTTGCAATAGTGGCAATACGTTATAACTGCAGTTCGTTGGCGTCTGTCCATTTGTCCATCAATCATACCTTTCCGAAACAGTTATGGAATTCAGTCAGAGTTGTAGTACATCAATGCCTTAGATTGTATAATGGCAAAAGCTCAGGCCTGAGGTTTAAAGTGGAGCACAATTTCTGCATGTTTAGTTAGGTTACATGTACTTGGTGGGTTCTAATTGGTTGGCACTTTCCAGACAATAACTTTCATAAAGATTTAAAGATTTCATGTAGACTCTGGAGTGTTTGGGGAAATTTATTGTGTCGTGAAAGCCATATGTGACAGACACACTTTAGGTAATATGATAGCTGCTGACTGTAAATACACTAAAGAATAGAAAATGTCTTTGAGGTTGAGCAAAAACATTTGTCTATCTAATTATATCTGTATGGATATTGAAACAAAAAGCTTCATTTTATGGTTGTAGAAGGCCCTTATCATGTTAAGTGCCCTGAACCATACATTGAGGCCCTTATCATGTTAAGTGCCCTGAACCATACATTGATATGACATTTGAGTATTTTTGAGTTCAAATATCTTTCGATTTTTGAGAGAGAAAAAAAATGTATGGAAGAGAAACAACTGCATCAATGTAATTGGTGAGTATATATGTACTTAGAGGAGAGTCTTTTCAGATGTGTACTTTAGTTTATAACGTTCCTTGCCTCACTTTAATGTTCCTTTGGGGTTTCTGTATAGTCTGGATGTATTGTCATCTTATAAGGGCAGAACTTTATTCCATCTGACAGGCTAACCTTTATCGGAGTTATGTGAACTGTCTCAACACAGGTCACCATGGTAACGGATAACAAAAACAGGGGCCATTTTTACTGTGTTGGTCATTAAAAGCAGTCCCCGGCGGGGATATGTATCTGATGCACAAATGATAAGGTTTTTTACGTAGGAGTGCTGCATCAGATATTCCTATCTGTTTTTGGTTTAATGTAATTACAGAAAATCTTTCACAGGTCATCGTCTTCAAGATCATTTCTAATCTAGTCAGTTTTTTAATCTAACACCCAGATAGGCCTAGTTTGTGTTAGACAAATTGTCCATTCGGATTGTTTTTAAGCGGAGATGCCATCTTCTATGATTATAAACCATGTAATTTGTTATAAAATGTACTTGCGATTCCTTATTTCAGACGATCACGCCAGGGTCATACTACAAAGTGTGCCACACAGAGAAAATGGTTATATCAATGCCAGCTATATTGATGTAAGTATCGCCTCCATTATGATTAAGATTTTGTTAAACTTTGTTTTAGATACCTGATTCATGACATATTCAGTTTTTCTGCCTCATGGGAAATATTTTCCATGCACATGGTATCGGAAGTCTATATCTGTTCCTTTAACCTTACTTCTGGGACCTCTGTCAGCGTTGTGATGGATGGGTGCTCCTGTTAGTAACGGACGTGAGATTTCAGATATGTACACGAGAGATTCAACAAAATAACATCATAACAAAAGAATGATTTTACAATGCAGTGCTTGTCTGGTTCAATTAAGAAAACTTGATTGAAAATTTGCAAACTATCATTATGATATATATGTTGCCAATTTAATTTCAGCATTGAGTTTGTCTTCCATGAAAATATACATGCCTTTGAACATTTTAATAAAACGTGGCACCAATAACATAAAATTTAATTAACATTTTCATCAAAGTAATACAGACATCTAGATGCAGTGTTTGTGTTGTACTAGTTTTAGCTTTGAAATAAATTCTGCTGACAACACAACTTAATAATTAAAAAAAAAAAAAGATGAAAAAAAAATCCATACTAGCAAACTTTTTGAAATTTCCATGCGGAAGATTCTGCATGCTCAAAATTAAAACATAAATAAGATGTGTTTATACCCCCCAGAGCAAACACGACCCTTTAAAATGACATATTTTGAGTTGTTCTTTTAAATGAAATTATTAGAACTTAGAATATAGGAATAGTTGAGCAAATTCACAGGTTGAAGATGCCTAAGTTAAGTGTCCAAAATTGGGAATCTCCCTTCTGATTAGGGAGGGTTGTCGTCAAGCTGGAAAATGTTAACATTATATTCTTTGTGAAATGATATCTGTGTGTTTACTCTTTCACTGACAACATTTAAACCCCCATACATTCACATGACAGTAAATTCCCTACTTAGTTAAGTGGTGTGACGCCTACAGGCTACTATAGCTGCTGTCCTGACTGACCTCTTGGTTACCATTGGTATAAAACAGCTCCCATTATTGGAATCATGAGAACATGCATTCTATAACTGTTTCTGTGTCATTCCTACTAAATAAATGATCATTGTCCATTCCGCAGTGATGATATTTTCCTGGAGATTTTGACACCTGCATCAGTTCTGTATCCTCCCTGATGGTATCATGAAATCTGATAATGGACGGCATTTATTATCCCCTACAATGTGATTGATGGCAGATATTAAATTAGGTTCCATGCCTCCAACATTATTGTTTCCAGACCAGTACATGCGAACCATTAAAGATATTTTCTTGAACTGTTGAACACTTAGTGGTCTTATTTAATACCTTTTAAAAGCCTGAAGTTTTTAATTTTATAAATATTTGGGTTACCATGGAAATGAAATAAAAACTAAAAAACTGTGAGATATTTCTATGAAAGATTGGATGCTAATCAAACTAGATATCTAGTAGTAATGCTGGCTTTACTATAGAGTTTTTACTTTTATCATATTCTACTGTAGAAAAATTTGATATTTGTTTTTTCCCTAGCAACAGTTGACTTTTCTGTGGTAGAACAGACATTTATGATTTGATTCAGTGAAAGGATTTACAATAATTTATTCGGCAATAAGAAAGTTTTATATTTGGAAATATTTGCCGTTGCTTAAGGAACCCTGTCCAGCTACATTGTCCTTTTTTCTATATACAGTAACCTCCCCTTAACATCTTTTTTGGATATAACTGTAGCAGTTTGGTCAGGCCCCTTCTGTTGAACAGCTCAATGGTTAGAGCGATAGTATAACAATCTGAAGTCCAGGGTTTGTATCCCGGTCTGGCCCGTTAGTTTGTTACACCCAGAACACTGTTGCTGATTTATATTTGTTTATTTCATATCTTCAATTTCTCAAAAAAGTCCTGCAAAGTATGATTTTCTTTACAGAAATAATTTATCAAAGCTATAGTCATACCAGAAAATCAGTTTCCAACACTAAGTAACAATTTTGGGTAGTGGTAAGGGGATCCTTATATTAATTTAAAAAAATAGTGAATATTACTTAAAACTCAACATTTCACTAAATTGTTTTTTACTGAATTTTTAGTGTAAAATCAACCCTATCAAAAAGAAAAACATATTTCAAAAGTATAGATATATATTAAGTCCTTATTTGGAAATTTGTTCAGAATATTTTTTTTAGATTACCTGTTCATCTTTGATACATTTTAACTGAAATTAAATTTAATTTCTGCGACAATTATGAACAGCTAGTTTCAAGAAGGCATGAAATTTCATAACTCAAAACCAACATGCAGACTATATGTAGGGTAAAGACTAACCACTCGATCTACAGGTCTGTTCACGGTTACTTAACAATCCATTACGCATACAGATCAATCAATTATTTAGTTTCTTCATTTTTATACGCCCGTCGAATGGCGGGACGTATTATGTTTTCATGCGGGTAGGTGGGCAGGCGGGCGGGAAACATTAGTTACCGATAAATTACTTGAGTAATTTAAAATGGATTAATTTCAAACTTGGTAGGAAGGTTCATTGCCATGAAGGCTCAGACAAGTTCGATAAACAAAGTTGTTTGCCAGGTGTTTACGGAGTTATGGCCCTTTGTACAATTGCCAAAACAGTTTCCGCTCAATAACTTCTGTAATTTTAAATAGATTCATTTAAAACTTCATAGGAAGTTCATTTCTATGAAAGCTTGCACAATTTCGATAACCATTATCCGCCTGTTTTTAAGGGAGTTATGGCCCTTTATAGAATTGACGTAACAGTTTCCGCTCAATAACTGGAGTAATTTTAAATGGATTAATTTCAAACTTGGTAGGATGGTTCATTGTCATGAAAGCTCGGACAGGTTTGATAAACAAAGTTGTTTGCCAGGTGTTTACGGAGTTATGGCCCTTTGTACAATTGCCAAAACAGTTTCCGCTCAATAACTTCTGTAATTTTAAATAGATTCATTTCAAACTTCATAGGAAGGTTCATTTCTATGAAAGCTTGCACAATTTCGATAACCATTATCCGCCTGTTTTTAAGGGAGTTATGGCCCTTTATAGAATTGACGGAACAGTTTCCGCTCAATAACTGGAGTAATTTTAAATGGATTAATTTCAAACTTGGTAGGATGGTTCATTGCCATGAAAGCTCGGACAGGTTTGATAACCAAAATTATATGCTGGTTATTTATGCAATTATGGCCCTTTGCAGAATTAACGCTTATCTCTCCAAAATTTATGCACCTATATGGCCCTTTGAGGCAAACTGCTCATTCGACATCTGACAGGCATATAATGTACTGCATCGCAGAACTTTTGTTGAGGTTAAGAATGAAAAACAAATCCTCTGATTCTCACAATTTTGATTTTGTTTTATCAAAATCATTGAGTTTTCCTTTAAAAGGATAATCAGATCTAATAAACATCACACTTAAACAAACTCTTGTATCTGCACAACAATAAACTCACAACATCAACAATAACAGCTTTCAGGAGAAGAATGTGAAATGGACTAGAAATAGAGGAAAATCCATACATTCTATAAATAAATTACAGTTTTCTTGACTTTGTTTGGGATGACTCCCGGATAAGAGTTTCGTTTAAAATTTTGAAAATCAATTGGGTATTTTCATATTCACAATTTCAACAGGAAGTAGCTAGTAGACAAAGGTAACCCATCATGGTTATAAGTCTGAAGTGGGTGTGTTTAACCCATCATTGTTATAAGTCTGAAGTAGGTGGGTTTAACCCATCATGGGTATAAGTCTGAAGTAAGTGTGTTTAAACCATCATGGTTATAAATCTGAAGTGGGTGTGGTTAACCCATCATGGTTTTGGGTCTGAAGTATGTGTGTTTAACCCATCATGGTTATAAGTCTGAAGTAGGTGTGTTTTGAACCCATCATGATTATGAGTCTGAAGTAGGTATGTTTTGAACCCATCATGGTTATAAGTCTGAAGTGGGTGTGTTTAACCCATCATGGTTTTGAGTCTGAAGTATGTGTGTTTAACCCATCATGGTTATAAGTCTGAAGTAGGTGTGTTTAACCCATCATGGTTATAAGTCTGAAGTAGGTGTGTTTGACCCATCATGATTATGAGTCTGAAGTGGGTTTGTTTAACCCATCATGATTATGAGTCTGAAGTAGGTGTGTTTTGAACCCATCATGGTTATAAGTCTGAAGTGGGTGTGTTTAACCCATCATGGTTGTGAGTCTGAAGTAGGTGTGTTAAACCCATCATGGTTTTGAGTCTGAAGTAGGTGTGTTTAACCCATCATGGTTATAAGTCTGAAGTGGGTGTGTTGAACCCATCATGGTTATAAGCCTGAAGTAGGTGTGTTTAACCCATCCTTGTTATAAGTCTGAAGTGGGTGTGTTTAACCCATCATGGTTATGAGTCTGAAGTGGGTGTGTTTAACCCATCATGATTATGAGTCTGAAGTAGGTGTGTTTAACCCATCATGATTATTAGTCTGAAGTAGGTGTGTTTAACCCATCATGGTTATAAGTCTGAAGTAGGTGTGTTTAACCCATCATGGTTGTGAGTCTGAAGTGGGTACATGTGTTTAACCTATCATGATTGTGAGTCTGAAGTGGATACATGTGTTTAACCCATCATGATTGTGAGTCTGAAGTGGATACATGTGTTAAACCCATCATGGTTGTGAGTCTGAAGTGGGTACATGTGTTTAACCCATCATGGTTGTGAGTCTGAAGTGGGTACATGTGTTAAACCCATCATGATAATACTCTTTAATCCAACATTTAATATGGAAGGTACGCATTTAGATGTAAGAAAACACAGTGACATACCATTTTAGTTTTTATAGTTAAGTTGAACTAGCATTTCTCATGTGTTATAATTATGCCATCTCATAGATATATACTATTTGCTTTTATCATATTCTACCATGGAAAAATTTGATATTTGTCTTTTCCCATTAGCAACAGTTGTCATTTCTCATGTGTTTATTATGCCATCCCAAATGAAACTAGAGAGTGACATACCAT